AACGAGAAACATTATTACATATCATAGTTTCAGAAGATTTAAAAGAATTTTTTAACCCTTATGTAAAATCACGATGATGATGGAGTAAAAATTTTATGATCTAAACATGACAAAGGAAAGATGATTTTAGATGGATATATTTACAATGAAATTTCAGCAAATGATAAATTATTTTTAGATGCTGTGTAATAATGTGTAAGAGGATGATACATACTAACGTATATAATGCATTTCATTGAATATGCATGTAATGCACCTTTGATAGTTAAAAAATATACATACACATTACAAATTTAAATCACAACTGAATTAATACATAAATTAAAAATTGCAGTGCTGTCAGCAAGTGATGAAAGTCTTAACTGCAACTGTGAGCTGTGAGAAAAAAATTCTGTGTATGTTGTGGGGTTGGGGAGAGAAATAGAACTGCCCCCACTATAAATTTTTGTTACATGGGGAATCCTCCTGTTCATGCAGCCGGTATGGCATGTGTCTCTTAACTTAAGCTTGTATCAGTACTTATGCTTGTACTCAGTTTGCAATCTACACTACTTATATAAATATATGCATTTAAACTTTTACATTCTCACGCTAGGTTTTCAGGGCAACTCGCAACAAATGTTATAAATTCAGGACCAAAAAACAAGTTGTAAAAAATCAGGACAAGGACTGGAAATTCGGGATGTATGGTCACCTTATTTATAGCTAAAAATATTTGGGAATTAAAAAAATTATTAATGGAGTATAAATTAGAAAAAGTAATTTTGAGGTGAATTTTATGATAAAGTTTTATTTCTTGATACAGATGTTTTCAGGGCAGGTACATATTTTATGTTATTAATTTGTAATCTGGCTGGTCTGTAATCAATACATTTTACAAAACATATCTAAAATACTATAGATTCATTTCACAAATCCAAATACCTATGGCCAAACTTTATATATATTATATATATGGGACGTAGTCAGTGAACAGCCAGCGAGGTCTCACATCATCTGAATAACAATATGAACAGCAGCCAGCAAAGCCGAGCATACAGATGAGTGGAGAAGCGTCTCAAATAGATTAAGGCTGACATGCTTTAGTTCTGGGTTTTAGCTGATGACTTCTGGCCATGGAGAAGAGTAGACAACTCTGAAGGCCAGGCAGACAGAGAGTATGACAAGGTGGCATTGACTTGCCTTCCAGGAGGTTAAAGGAGGGATAATTTCCAGTTCAGATATAGAAATCCACCTAGAAATTTGATGATAAATGCAAAGACTGTGGGCTGTAGATTATTACATGAACTGTTCGTCGACTGAGCTTAGTTGTGCAGTTATCATTTACTTATGTCAATTTCATCTATTAACAGCTATAATGTTCATTTCATCTTTTCATTCCATCTTAGTAAATTCATAAATAGATTAGATTAGTTTACACTTATCTCATGCTCTTTATTCAGATTACCTTACACACATATATATATATAGAGAGAGAGAGAGAGAGATGCATGTAATAAGATGACTCGAAAGAAAGTTGCAACGGTTTGATGATTGTTCTCTGCATTACAACTTGAAGAGACTTTACTGCATAATTAGAAAGATGACACTCAACAGACTTGGCGGTAAATTCCACACATAATATTATTCCTTGATAATGCAGATCATCACTATGGGTGCATTATGGACCTCAAAATTTCATACATACATTTCTTAAACAACAGAAATTAGAAAAGTAAACTCTGCATGGCTAGCAGCAAGATGATGGAGCAGATTGAAAAGCTGAAGCAGAAGAGAAGAGAGGGGAAGTTGTGATGCAATTTTCTGTTAAGATTTTGGGTTCAGATTTCATCAATAAATGTGGAATAGAGATTAGATGACGGTTCTTTTTCAGAATTGCAAAGAGTTTAGTTAGAAAAATTATTGCTCTGTTATTTTTAGAATGAAGACGGGAGTTAAAGGGTTATTATTAATTTATTATTTGAAAGATAGATATTTTATATTTTACACACATATACATATATATAATAAATAAGCAAATAAATAAACAGTCTAAATAATAAAATCTAAAAAGATGGGACAGGCAATAATGATTTCAAATTAACAGTTTAATGTTATAAAAACATGGAGTTGAAATATGGAAGTTACACTATTATACAGGGTTAGAACAAGGGTAAAGCATTTGCTTCAGGTGAAAGTCTTGAAGGGACGTCAAACTTTCTACGATAAATTAAGAGTTTCACTTTAAAAAAGTTAATTATTTAAGTTATTAATTTTTAACTTTGAAACATATTATAAACACTGTTTTAAGATGTCATATATAAAGTAACAAGACCATACAAGTAAGGTGACCACACAATTCAGAAATGAACAGCACATGGCCTGGAAAATTTTCTGCATCCTGTAAATATGGTGCCTCTCTTTAAATATAAATTAGAGTGTTAGAAATAGAAAATAAAAGTTAAAGAATTAAATATGAAAAAAAAACATTGAAACAATAAAATCATCACAGATGATGTGATATTAATGACAGGTTAATTTGTTATAGCAAACCTAGAAGAGATGCTTTTGAGAAGAACTTCTTAAAGAAAATGATTCACATTCAAAACACATACACCAAAAATTCCACGAAGCAGCTTGTTTATCATGAAATGAATGTGAGACAAACTAGTAGCAAGGAGGGGATGAATCCCAATGAGAAAGACTAACTATAAATGAAATATTTATTTGCAGAGCTCAGAGGTAGTCAGATAACAAGGTAATAAGACCACTGAATGCCGATATTAGTGAAGATATGAAAAATTAAACAATATATTTTCTGATTTCTAATTACAAACTGGTGAAAACTTAATGGTTTAAAATGATTTAAAATAAGCATATTTTAATTTAGCATTTAAATATCCAAATGTTATAAATGCTGCAGAAATTTCACCAGAAATTTAGTTTTAAAAAACTGGAAATTGCAACATTTTCATACACTAAAGCAGGTATAAACCTAGGTCTTTAAAAATAATGAAGAGTTCACATGTATAGAAAAGTTTACTAAATAATCATACTAAAGAATTTTATAATTAAATTAAAGATATTAGGAATCTAGCTCAATCCTATTCAAATTTGGTAGAAGCATTAAAGCTATGTTTAATATAGCTTATGACATTAATACAGTCAAAAGTCTTTAATCCGGACTCGTCGGGACTTCGGTGATTCCGGATTATCGATTTTTCCGGATTATAAATCATCAGTTTAAATCTGGTAAGATGGCATGCAGAAATTATAAAATTAAAAATATGAAACCGTAATTTATGAAATAAAGCGCAATTATGATCTAAAGGGTATCAAAATTTACAAAAAAAAAAAAAAAAAAAAAAAAAAAGAGCTAATATTTATTTGTTTTCTTTATTAAACATTTCTTCCAACGTGCGCATGCATAAAGCATACATTACGCATAGTCGAAATTAGAAAATTGCAACCAGAAAACTATTTAATTTGTATTCGTGATATTTATGATGACGAGGAATTTGATTTAAATCATATCAAAGACGGAGTACGTCAAGATGAAATACTACATTTAGTTAGGAATTATAAGCCGAATAAAATAAAAACATCTGCCCTGAAGATAAGATTAGTGCTGAGAGATCAACTTCCAGTTCGTTGTGCTCTGCAACGTTCCCCTACCCCCACGCAAAGCAGCAAGGAATTCATAAACAGATTTCGGAATGATTAGAGAAACAAAGTATCCTTTATCCATTTTTGCAGCAATTCTACTTTTTTGTTTGATGGACATCGAAACATGCTTTGTAGATCCTTTGACAGCTCTAGCATCGGAAATTCTACTTGACATAATCGAAAGTTCCAACTTACTTTTATAAAATTGCCTAACAGTCTGCAAAAAATAATAAGCCGGATCCAATTCGAAGATTAAGGAACAACACAATCTGCATCATTAACTGAAATAGATAATCAGAGCTTAGCTTATACCGTCCGTTGTACATTAAACGCGCATGCGTAAACGTATTATGCGCATGCGTAAAAGTATTACGTGCATTATGCGTTGACGCATGTTCAGAAAGTTTGTAGCTTTGAGGTCCGGATTACAGATCATTCCAGATTATGGGTGTCCGGATTAACGACTTTTGACTGTAGTAAAAGAAGCTTCAATATGCCAAAAATGATTTTTAAAAATCATAAAGTCTGGTTTGGTTTATTGAGATTACGGCAAAGCACACTAGGGCTATCTGCCTAAGGGGAGGGATGCCCTCATGGAGGACTTTTTAAGGGAAACTGGCTCGTATACACAACACACACGGTGAAAACCACGAAAACGCCCATGCAGCCAGCCCGTTCGCGGGATTTGAACCTCAGACCGAACTACCAGTGTTCAGTGACTTTACCGCTCGGCCGCTGATGGACCCCCCCAAAAAATCATAAAGAAATCAAGAAAAATTAATGAGCATACTTATTCTTTATGGAGAATACAAATTAAGTAATCAAGTAGATTTTTAAAACTATAAAAGTTTTTTGCCTTGTTAAAATCAAGGAAAAATTTTTTGAAAATAATTGTTCTTTTTTTATTATTATATTATTTTAATATTATCTGTAACTTTGACTCACTCATGAAGAATTAATTTTTAGCAGCTTTCATTTTTAAACTATAAATATTTTATTTTGGTTTTAAAATATTATAATTATTTCACGAATATAAAAATATTAAAAGAATATTAAAAGTAATATTTTATATATTACTTTTTATATAGTATTTTTTATATTATATATTTTATATAGTACTATATAAGAACTACTATAAAAGTCATGGTAAACTTAATGGAGTGACCTCTGCTAAAAAAAGCACAGATGAAATTATACTGCATAATATGAATACAGGCACTCATTCAAGTTCTTACCTCAAGTGAAGAACTATTTAAGTATGGCTCTGACATTATAAATAAATATGTGTGTAACATTATTTATTACTATAGCTACTTAAGTATAGTGTAACTAAAATAATTCCTAAATTTACTTACTTCTCCACTAGGTCTTTCCGTCTTGACTTGAATTTTTGTTCTATGTTTTCAAAATTTAAAGACAGAGTATCAGACAATGTTTTCTTTTCTTCTGATACATTACTATTTTCACATGCAGCTAACATCACATTTTGCTTTTTATGGCCTGGCTGTGCTTCTGATTCATGAACACTATTTAGTGAACTAGGTCCTGGTTCTGACTCTTTAGAACTAGGAAATTCCTTTTCATGCTCAAAGGCACTAGTGCTAGTTGATGGTAAGTTAGTCCTATTATCATCAGTGTTACTTTTCACTTCATCATTTGAAACTTTGCTAGATAAAGCATCTTCATTATCTGAATTGTTAACATCCTCATTTTCTTTTTTGGCTAGCTGACTCTGCACAGCACTTTCATCTGAAATGTAGGATATTTTAATAATACACACACACACATACATATATTTATATAATCCTCAAAACTATTCCTACAATTTCTTATGAAACAGATATTCCTAACACTATTTTCCTGTTATATGAGCAGATCGAAAACTAGAAATACTTAACATTTATCATTTGAAGAATAATGGAACACTTTTTATTTGAAGAAAATATAGTAAAACCTCTCAAAGGTGAGCACTACTTAAAGTGCCCAATATTTCTGAGAACATAACTAAATAACTACTGCTAGAATAAAACAGTCATATTCATTAAATTGACTACACCTACAGAAGACCAAAATTATCCGAAACTATTCTAATTCTCTTAGTTTCACTCTGCTTTTCTTTTCAACTTCTACTCCTCTTATAGTTCAATAATATAAAATCAGATTCCTATCTAATATCTAGATTTACTAAGGGACTAAGAGATAGTATTACTAAACTGAAGACAAGTCAGAATTTTTATTTAAAATATATACATTACAAAATGCTCTAATTTTTATTTATTATTTTATTTATCTTTATCTATTTAAATTTTCAGCACACACTACGTTTTGTAAGTTTGTTTTCCTCATGCAAACTAAAAAACTGTAAGACTGCAGGATAAATTTTAGAAAAAAAGTTGGAAAGTAATAATAAATTAAATTAAGGGAAAAAAGTATATGAAATATATAAGAAAATAAAACACTGCATAATAATATGAAATGTCTGCTTTACCTCCTTCCTCCTCATTAGAATCAGATGCTCCATCCGCATCTCCATCTTCAGATTGAGATGATGCATGCGATGAACCAGATGATGATCGAGATGCAGCAGATTGTGTTCGGTTCTGAGTAGAATTGTTAAACATTCGTGTTAATATATCAGTCATTCTACGCACGATATTAGCTTGTGAGGAAGTTTCTTGCTGCTCTAGAAGAGAAACAATTTACATATATAAAAAATTTCACATTTCATTCTTTAAAGTGGAAAATAAATTGTTTTATTTTATAACAACTATTCTAATTTTACAATTTACACAATTATTCACAAGATAAATCCTTACATATTTCAAACACATAACATACCATAAACACATGATACCTTAAATTATACTTATTATTTAATATAGCAAAAACAAATCATTTCCTCACTATTATATTGACAATTAATCATGTTAGGAACGCAGACAGAGTAAGCTGTACCTGTTATAGTCAGAGAAAACTCATTCTCAAATTTACATACAGGGGCTAAGAAGCTAAAAATGAATGAAGACTGGCAATTCATTCAAAGTTCACTAACCAATGAAGATTTAATAGTAGTTCACAATGGATTCGATTCTTAAATGAATAAGTTAACAGGAAAACAGACCAAGCTGTGGTTAACAGGAAAACAGACCAAGCTGTGGTTAACAGGAAAACAGACCAAGCATAAAAGAAAGCAAAAAATTAATAACTCAAACAAATTGTTAAATATTCCTTGAAAAGGACACTAGATCAAATCTCAAACTAGAAAAAGCTTTTCCCTCAACTGAAAATGAAATCAAATAAAAAAATTACTACGCAGATTCATTTAAAAGTTTTTTTTTTTTTTTTTTTTTTTTTTAAATCCAAAAGAACTGTTAGCATAACATATGGAATGAGTTTGGAAATCTTTACCAAAGCTGATAAAATATATAAATGTTTAATACCTTAGCACCGAGGAACCTACTTATAGTAGATTATAACACTTAACACTCTTGAAGAAATTAAAGATAACCCAAGTAAATGAAACTGTACGTGCAGAAGGTAGAGATTGATAAGTTTAAAGGTTATTCATTTTTTCGCAAAGCAGCAGTTGCTTTCTTTGCACAGTAAAATAAAAATATCACAAAAAATTTCTTCAAAACAACACTTTCTATTTTTTTACACTACAATACAGATAAATTTCCAAAAATATTAGGCTATATAATATCAATCCTGAAAAATTTTTGAGACTCTAAAAATACTAATATCAGTGTTAAAATTACTACCTAACAGCAATAAAGAGAGATTTTGAAAGCTGCACAAAATTTATGGAAAAAGCCAAAAGCACAATTTTAGTAAGTTTTTTTCTATCAGAAAATTCAACATCACGGAACAAGCTTGTCTGCATACTCTATTTAAGTTTTAAAAAATTACTTACAGATGTAATTGAAAATAACACTAAAACAGATAAATAAAAAAAAAGTACATGCACAGTGAAACTCAAATTCATGTAATTTAATTCACTCTTGAAAGCTGTTCATCATCTGAAAATTTCATAGACTGAAATAATTATTTATTGATTGATTGATTCATAGAATTAATGTAAAATGATTTCATTCCTTCCTGGACTACAAGTGATTTACTTACTTAAATTTTACAATCTTGGCTTAATACTTTGTGTACAAATTCTTAACACAAAACCAATGGAAATCATTAAATACAAGATAAAAAAATTAAACATAATATGTTGTTACATATGGCTTTATTGGAAAGAGCAATCCAAACATATAAAACAAGTATCATACAAGAACAATGATAAATAATAAAAAAGAACAAAATTTTATAAAGAAATAAATGAAGACTGGAACAAAAGTAAAAAGTTAATTTAACAAGGAAATTTAACAAGTAAAATTTAAACAAGGAAAGGAACATAAGGCATGTAGTCTAATAAACATAATACTAAGCAGATAAAAATAAATGAAAACTTAAATTTAATAATGCCTTTTCTATAGGATGCAGCCATCCCCCCTTTTTTTGCTGTTGTTGTTGTCTAGTCTCTTAGCTCAACTTTGCTTTGTCCTCCATTTCATCAAAATGTGTCAAATGTGAGTTGTTGTTGACTATGTTTTCAAATGAATCATGGCATTTTCATTGAAATATGCTGTAGTCTGTAACTGCTTTACCAGGATGATTACATTAAGTGAAATCTCTGCATGTTGCACCTTTTGGGAAAACTCTTTTGTTTAAAGAACTAGGAACACTTTTTCTTCCTTCCTTTGAAAACATTTCCATCACAATTGCCTTTCATTGCAGCTTCAGAAATTATTGCAGTTCTTTCTTACTGAGCTGATTTTTAAGGTTTTCTCCTTTGCATGCTCACTGTTAATTTTAAGCCCAAGCCGGAAGACACAATACTGTAGATACCCCCCCCAAAAAAAATAAAAATATTCCTAAGTGTCAAAGCTCTTAGAGTCACTGACTGCAATGGAATCTGGCCATAATTTCCTCTTTACCGAATTCATCAAGTCACTTATTGCCAGGTTTTGTTAATGAGAATCAAGCAATAGAAAATATAAAAATGATCTTTCAGGATGTCCCTGAGTGTTAATTCTATTGCACAGGCTATCTCAAAACAACTCTGAAATTCATCTGCTAGCAACTTGAGAATTCGTAACTCGAGGCATCGTTCATCACCTGAGGCATTTTTGTTCATATAATTCGTTTCATAACCAAATTGTTTATAATGTGAGTTGTTTGTTATCTACGGTTTATTGGCTTTAATTTATGGCAAACTGATTTGTGATTATCACTTACGAATGCATTAGTCATAAAAATCAATTGCACAGATTTAATTTTTCTTCATTCTTGTGTGAATTTCAGTGTTACAACCAGAAAAGATGTAAATGCAGTTCTGACTGTATACCACAATTTTTTTTTCCCCTTTTACATGTGAAATTTGAGAAAAGCTATGTTTACAAATATCAGTAAGACCAATATTCCAACAAATAAATCCTTGGATCTCAATATTTGTCAACTCTGATAACTTCACTTTTAACAAGCTACTTTGCAATAAGAATAAAAAAAAAAAAAAAAAAAAAAAAGCATCAGAGACAAATTTTGTCAAAATTAATACATTAAGATCTTATATTTATTAAATACCTTTTGCTGAAAAGAGACTTCTATTTAAATTTGAGCATAGCTTTTTAGCATTTAGAATTTGCAGAAAGAAGTTTTGACAAAACTCAAATTACATTATACATTTAAATATTAGCCAAATCACACTGGCTTTTATGCTTGTCATTTCATGACCTGAAACATAAAATTATTGCTACCACAACTACTAATACACTATAATGTCCATAAGCTTAACATGAATTGCAAGCAAATGAAATACATAATCCAATAAATAAGCAACTACAAACTGAAATTACAAAGTTTATTAAACATATATCTATAGAACTTAAAAAGATGTAACATTTTGATTCCCTTTTTTTCTGTTTACAAACTTAATGTTTGGTTTACTCTCTTACCTCTTGATTCAGCTTCAGGTCGAGCATTAGGTCCAGTATCAGACCAGTCTCCTCGCACTCTCAGCCTCTTCATCAGGGGACGACGTCCGAAAAACATTCCTGTATACTAAACATTTCCTTAATTAAATTACATAGCAGAATTCTCAAACTTTAAATTTATTTTTATATAAAAAGCAATCACTCATAAATCCATCCATTTTATCTAATATGAAAGTTTAGATCAACTTTACAGTTAGAAATTAAGTATTCTTCTTGAACATATGTTACACTTTAATGTAAGCTAAAACTACAATGAATTTTATTCTACTGATCATATTAATCTTATTTGTTAATTACATAATATTCATCAAAAACTATTGATAAAAATTTATGATCTTTCAATTAAGAGTACTTTTAATTCAAATTTTGAAAAGAGATGGAAAATGCTTCTGGTCTCAAATAATAATAACAATGACATAATTTTTATAATGAAAAATTGTTACAATACATGCCGATTAAAAACTGTAACACAACTAGAATTTAAATTTACTACTCAGAATAATTTTGCCAAAGAAAATTCTCATTAACAAGTGAAAATGAGATAGTGACAAGTGAAAATGTGATAGTGATAATGTTAAATATGTTGTTCCAAAATACACTTCTATCTTTTAGTAATCGTGAGTTATAGCATTATAAACATTGGCAATTTAAGACTTAGTTTTGAAAAAGCTAGTATTTCCAAACTGTTTCCAGTATAAATTTGAATCTTTCTTTCCCATTCAATTTTGTTGCAGTAATGAATAATTTTCAAAGACTAATGAGATTGAATACATTTATATAAATTGAATAAGACTTAATTTCATGTATGCTGAAATTTTCCTCTCTTTCAACAGAAAAACTCACAAAAACATCCTATGTTGCACATAACAATCTGAAGTTTCTTGTCAAAAAATATGCCTAAGAGAAAATGCAATTCAAGGCTACTAGATATGGAATTCTTGAGTGAACAATTCCAGAATCTAGCAGCTTGAAATTCAAATGTGACTCTCCCACAAGTAATACCTTCCTTTCAATTATGGCACATGTACTTTAAAAAATGAAATTAATATTTGTAACTGTTTTTCTCACTTTATGATAAATATATTATAAAATTAGAAACTTTATTGAAAAGAATATTTTATCATCTATTTAAAATGAGTAAAAAAACTAAAATATTTCAATTCCAGGAACAAAATCTGTTCATCATGACCACATGAATTACAAATTTAACAAATTTCCAAACACGGTGAATTACTAGTACAGGACTGGGCTGGACACATGAGAGTTTTTGCAGTTTTTCCTGTGGATAATTTAAGTACAAGCTAATTTACCTTATAATACTATCTATAAAACCACCTCTATATATACAGTCCTCATGTTATTTCTACTACTAAATAATGAAGAATCTGTTTGCACATGTATGAATACATATAGTCCTCCAATTGAAGATGTGCATCTTCAAAATCCGAATACTGAATTTTAAATTTGTTTTGGTACAACTCTGATAAATGCCGTAATTTCACCAAATGTGACGATATGTGTTTTGCGCTGGTTTTTGGCGCGACTGCGTGTTGTGTGGCAACCATGTCAACGTTGAAAAGTCTTTGGTGGAGTAGTTTAAATTGCTAGTTGGTTCATGTCGCGTGTGTTTTTGAAATGGCCTATGTTGCGATGAAAGACGTGGTGGGAAGGTTTCAGCCGCGTATTTTAGATTGTGTGCAGAGTAAATTTAGTATGAAAAGGTACGATGTTGGAGTTGTTAACGAGTCTTTTGTTCACGGATGTATTTATGAGGATCGTAGTGTATTTTTGGAATTTCTGTGGGAGTCGGGACTTTTAAAAAACGGATTTGACGTGTCCGAAATGCGGAGCTGATATGAGAACTCGGACGAAAAAGGTGTTTCTGATAGTTCTTGTGTGGGTTTGCAGTAAAATTGCTTGCTAATAAAGTATGTGGGTGTCAGCGGAGTTTAAGGTTTGGATCTTGGTTTTCGTGTAGCAAGTTAACGTTGGAGGAATTTTTTATTGTTACTTTCGAAATTTTGAATCATAGGAAGGCATGTGATATAGAAAAATCGTGGAAGTTTTCTTCACAGACGTTGTGCGACTGGCGAAATTTTATTAACGAATGTATTTTGGACTTTGTATGCTTTGTATCTGAGAAGACAGGGGGGAAAGATATTTCTGCTTTTAAAAGAAGTTTTCATTATGGTAAGTGCATTTTATTTTATTTTTTTTTATTTTGTAGAATGTTATATTCATTGTTTTTGGTATGAATTTCCGTTTTTATTGTTGTTTTTTGAATTGTCTGAAATTTATTTTAGTTTATATTCTTGATTTGTTTTTAGTGTAGATTGTGCAATTCGTAGATGTTTTTTTAAAGTTGAAACAGAACTCTGCGTACATGGTATTTTTTGAAATTTATTGTTGTTATGTTAATTTATTAAAGCGAGGTGTTCATAGTTCGTAGATTCATTCGTTGCCTACAGTGTGCCATTTGTAGATGTTTTTTTAAGTTAAAACATGTCGCTGTGTACATAGATTCTTGTCAAATATTTTTGGTTAGAAACTTTACATTTTTGCTATCTAAATTTTTTGTTTTTGTTTTGGATTTTTAGCTTAAATCGTGTGTTTAAAACGTAGTTTTTGCATGTGCGAAAACCGTGTTTTTGGAGACATTTTAGGCTTAAAGTTCGAAATGTAGACAAAAAGTTTAGATAGTAATATGGCAGCGTAAAGTTTCTCGCCAATATATTTGGCGACTTGAGGGCGCATATCAGAGTAGCTCCTTTGTTTAATACCTATTTCATATTCTATATGAATTTAATGAATTTCAGATTAATAAATTCAATAATTTGAAAGTGAGTAATAGTAACATTGTTCAAAATACAATATTTTTCTTTCCAGCATGCCAGACTGTTGCCATTCGGCAAAATGAAAGAGATTTAGTTTTCAATTTTAATCAATAAACTCAACTACAGTGCATTGCCATAATCTGTAATGAAATACTTTTATCATCCCCGTGCCAGCATGTTGCCATTCAGTAAAACATCAGATATTTAACATCCAAATTTAGTTTGTCTGCTACTGATTAATAAATAAAGCAATTAAGAAGCAATAAAATTACACACAAAGGGGCATTCTTTAACGTTTTGTGTGTTACCTTTATTTATTAAATATCATGTTCTTTGCACTTAAACCATAAAATTCAATTCAACAGCAATATAGCAAAATAATTTAAAAATGAGCAAAGCTTTTTTTAAAATATACAGTCTCGCACGCTGGAAATTAAAATGCTTTTTTTTCTTTCCCCATACAATGTTGCCCTTGCTCACTTTGAAATTGTTGAGTTTGTTAATCAAAAAGTTGTTAAAGTGTTACAAAATATGAAATCGATAATAAAACAAATTCCAAATTTGGGCTTTCAGGTGCACATATTCGGTAGAAAATATCGTTATTCAAAATTTGATGGCTCTAAATACCGTTGATTCCAATGTGAGAAACATACATACATACATTTATGGAGATTCTTCATTATTTAATTTCTTTAAATATAACACAGGGCGATAATATTTGGTGGCAACAATTTGAAAAGTGAACCAACATTTAGAGTGAGCCAACACAAAATGCCAAAATAAAATAAATAGTCCTTCAGGGTAAACTGACAAATATACTGTAAAATATACTAAATACAGTTCTTAAGAACATTTTTTCTACTTTTTAATCCGACTTAATTACTGGCAGAAACAATAAATTTAATATAATTTTACAGAGACTTTTATATTTCTAGACATCAAAAGATTAATTAAATACAAAAGGATTTTTTAAATATATAACCTCAACTTACATTTTCAGAACCATTTGAAGATGAATCTTTGGATAACATGCGGGGCTTTTTGTCAAGGTCATCCTAAAAAAGAAGAGGAAAAAAATAATAAATATACAAAAATTATACTACAAGCAAAATATACTGTAATGGCCACTTATTACAGCAACCATTTTATTCTAATGTTTTGTGGAAAAGGCTAAGTGATGAGAGTATATTAAATCAATTTTCATTACAATAACTACTCATTATAAACTTCTAATGGTACAAAGTGGTGACTAAGAGAAAACTCCTATGGATTCTTGAATCCCCATAGGGTTTCCATGCCTTGTACTGTTATGTCCTAAACATTCATTGCATTCTGCCTAAGAAACAAAAGAAACTTGGGCCATTGAAATGAATAATGATGTAAAAAATAAATTCCTGAAGTAGACGGAAGACATACCATAATTAACCAGTACAAAAATACCCAGTTATTTGGTGGTAGCAGCAGGTTGAATGAAGTCTGCACACCTTCTGTGATGACAAGTCAAACAGCTTATACTGCTGCAGTATTCATAAAATGCGGAGCAAAAGTCCCTACAATCCCAATGTAGACTGATAGGTATTCTTAAACAACTACTAACAAAAATACTTCATAAAACATTGCTGAATTTCAAAAAATTGCAAAAAATCATGTGTGACAGTGAGATGGTCATCAGTTCTCAGTCTCTAATTTGCATTCCTGAAGATACAGGTAGTCCAGTTCTTTCAACTCAATACAGTCAAAAGTCGTTAATTCGGACACCCATAATCCGGAATGATCTATAATCCGGACCTCAAAGCTAAAAACTTTCTGCACATGCGTCGCGTTAGCACATGTGCACAGGCATTTTATGCGTGCGTGTAAGACCTTGACGACTGCGCATATGCGTGTACGCAAGAGCAGAATACATTTTCGCCTGCGCGTTTAATGTATAATGGACGATGTAAGCTAAAATTATCTATTTCAGTTAATGTTGATGATTTCGTTGTTCCTTAATCTTCGAATTGGATCCCGCTTATTATTTTTTGCAGACTGTAAGAGAAATTTTATAAAAGTAAACTTGAACTTTCAATTATGTCAAATAGAATTTCCGATGCTGGAGCTCCCAAAGGATCTACAAAACGAAAGTATGTTTCGACATCCATCAAACAAAAAGTGGAATTGCTGCAAAAAATGGATAAAAGCATATCCGTCTCAAAATTATGCAAGGAATATAACATTGGAAAGTCAACTGTATATGACATAAGCAAAAAGGAAAAGGAACTTTTTGATTTTTTTTTTTTTTTTTTTTTTGATTCCGACGCCCCATTTGCAATGAATAACAGAAAAAGGGTTCATTATGCTAAAAGTGACGATCATGACAGAGTGATGATTGAATGGGTCAGACAGCATCGCAGCGAAGGCACGCCATTGACGGGTCCAATGGTAATGGCTCAAGCCAAAATATTTCATGAAGAAATGAACTTAAACGGAGAGTGCACATATTCGACAGGTTGGTTAACAAAATTTAAAAATCGCCATGGTATTAAGACAATTAAAAATTTCTGATGAAAAATCTTCAGCTGATACTGAAGCTGCTGAACAATTTGCAGATGAATTTATTGAATTCATTACTAGTGAACAATTATCTGCAGAACAAATTTACAATGCTGATGAAACTGGTCTTTTCTGGCAATATGTACCGCGAAATACCTTGGCAACCTCTACAGATAAGGCTCCAACTGGTGTCAAAGATTCCAAAGCGAGACTAACAATTTTAGCGCGCGCAAATGCTGCAGGAACGCACAAGTGCAAACTTTTCATAATCGGAAAACATGCACGACCAAAGTAGTAACAATTTTCTCTGTTATATATCGTGCAAATAAAAGAGCATGGATGACACAAGTGTTGATGAATGATTGGTTTGAAAATCATTTTATACCCGAGGCTCGGCGACATTTGAATTCGGTTGGTTTACCTGGTGACTCAAAAATAGTTCTGATTGTTGATAACTGTTCGGCGCATACTTCACTTATAGTTTTAGTGAAAGATAATGTATCTGTGTTATTCTTCCCTCCAAATTGTACGTCTATCATTCAGCCTATGGTATGGGAATAGTGCACGCGCTGAAATGCAAATATAAAGCAGCGTTTTTAAAATCTATGTTAAATTTCTTGAACAGTGGCAAGACTATTCAAGAATTTTTGAAATTTTTTAGCATAAAATCTGCCGTGTGGAGCATCGCAAGATCGTGGAAGGATGTGTCTCCAAGTACGTTTAAAAATGCTTGGTATAATTTATGGCCATCTACCATATTTCATGGTGAGGAGGATGAAGATGATAGCCGCGAATTTGAAGGTTTTCGGACATCGCAAACTAAAGGTGAAGTTTTTCAGTTATTGGATTTTGTAACGAAATGTGGAGAAGCGGTAATAAATGAAGATGATATAAGAGAAGTTTTTCATTGCGACGACAATGCCCCAATCATCAGTCAATTAACGAACAGCGAAATCTGTAGTATGGTTCTAGATCCAGAAAATATCGCTTTCGATAGTGAAGAAAATGACACAGACGTTATTGAAAACGAAACAATTTCGATTGACAAATTAGTCAGTATTCTCGACACCACAATTATAGGACTTGAACAGCGGAGCTTTGTAACTGAACAAGAAATTATGTCTGTTTATAGAATTAAAGAGAAAGTATTATCACATAAAACGAAGCAACTTAAACAACTTACATTGAAAGAAATGTTTAATAAAGTAAACAAATAAATATTAGGCTTTTTTTTTTTTTTTTTTTTTTTTGTAAATTTTGATACCCTTTAGATCATAATTGTTCTTTATTTCATAAATTACGGTTTCATATTTTTAATTTTAGAATTTCTGAATGCCATCTTACGAGATTTAAACTGATGATCTATAATCCGGAATCGCCGAAGTCCCGACGAGTCCGGATTAACGACTTTTGACTGTATCCTGTTTCTGAATGAAAATGAAGTTGGAGTGTCTGGTTTGAACATGATGGAAGCTCTTTTACTCTAATAAAGCTCATCCCAGTGTACAACAGTAAAGTTAAAATTATATGAATCAAAATAGCCTTGGGTATATTACTGCAATTAATTCAAAGAATCTACCTGTTGGAAATTGTTGACATCACTGAATCAATAGAAGATTCAGCTCAGATCAAGAATGAAATCAAAAAAAGCAACACAAGATGTATAAGAACGTTGTCATACTCTCCCAAAATGATCTGCATGTGAGTGTGAGATTAAAATTTCTAATATAGTAATGTATTTTTAGTAATGAACAGAATCTCTATTTTATTAAAGTATTAGTTTTTCTTTTCCAGGAACATTTTAAAATTTATGTTAATTTTTTGAATTAAGGTGAGAGAATGTTGGCTATTGATAAGCCACACTTCCTTTCATGCAAATATTTAGTTAGAGCAGATTGGCGACAGACAATATACATTCAATATTCCTGTAAGCAGCATGTAAATTCCAAATTCTTGCAAACCTATGTAAATAAGAATAGCAGTCTTATAAATAAATTATGTTCTGTACCTAGAAAATAATGTTTACTTTCTTGCCAGATGACTCAGTAGAAGTCATTAATGTATGATCTTTTTTTTTTTTTTTTTTCTACAACTATAAATGAAAATTCTTTCAATGCTTTTTAGCAAACATATTCCAAAGAAATATTTTTATCAAATAATATACATTTTTTTTTAAACTTAAAGAACAGATGGCAAAAACTACAATTTATTCTTTCACTCTTGCTGCCATGAGATGAGGCAGACTCGATTCTCAAATTTCAATTGTTTAATAATAATCTTTGATAGTTACTCCTGAAGATATCTAAATATTCTATTTATAGATAAAAATTAGATTTTATTTTGGAAAAGTAAAATAATTTATGCCGCAAATCTATACCAAATACATGAAAGAAATAAAATTGATTGTACTAAAAATAGGCCATCTGAAATCACTGGCTTGAAAATTGTGCATGAGATCACACTAAGACATTATGCATCTGCTCTGATACCTAATTACAGCGATTAAAAAATATAAACATATTTTATACATATTATATAAACAGAATAATATTAAACATTCATTTAATTATTCAAAACAGATCCAATATGGAAAATTACTTTGCTTTTCAGTTCAATATATAACACATAAAACATGCTAAATCTATATATTTTGATCAAATACTATAGACACATTTTGTCATAATATTATTGAAAGTCAACAGATTTTATATTTTCAACAATTTGTTGAAAGGATTACAATTATTATTATATGAAATATCAAAGAATTACCATTACCCTTATGTCAAATAAATAAATGTAATCTGAAGAATAGCTGACTAGCATTTCTTGACCATCAGCAGAATAGCATAATGAAGTTATTCTTCTACTTTGTGTAAATTCAGGTACAGTAAAACAGGTCATCAAAGCTTGAAAACCATTACCTGACCAGCTCCCTAATATGAAACACAATTACTATGTTAAACCTGTAATGTTAATACTACAAATTATTAGATATGTACAAAAATGGATACACTTACCTTTGGAACACAGAAACTTAGTTTGTGAAATTATTCTTTAAATTATGGTATCAAAATTTTCTTAAACATCCTGTTTTTATTTTCATCAATTAAGTAACAGCTAACAATAGCTTAGCACATTCTCATACCCACTTCCTCAGATAAAAAAATACAACTTTGATAACATGGATACGTTTGAAATATGAGCTGTTTTTGACTGCCTAGTTAACATTTTAAACTGATGCATTTTTGAAGCATCTGAGTTCTTAATCTAGAAAATACATTGTAAATTAAATTGCACTAGAAAGCTATGAAGGGCAAGATATGAAGAATAAAAGAGATTTAAATAATAATAAAAAATTTTACTTAAAGCTTATGTGATAAAGGTGAAGATCAACCATGAGATCTGACATTAATGTATATACGAATTATTAAGTGTTTTAAAGTTTTTGAATGTGCCTTCTTTGGTCATTAGCTATTCATCAGCACACAAAGAAGAATGCAATGTCAGAGTATTCAAAATATGTCTGTTAAGCACTGGAATTTGCCACATAAGCCTTACAATAGGATGGATGTGATCTTGGATGACTTGGCCCTGTACATCAGCATAGCTTCACTTTCAGTTACCAGATGAACTTTGCAGATTTCAAAAGAAAAAGAAATAACAGAAAACATTTCAACTAAGATTAATAGCCTTAAAAATTGTATTGATAGCACTTGAGACTCCATTAACCATTAAAAGAAGACCTTAAAATATTCAATAATAATCTCAGTTTTACAAAGAGTTGTAATGTAAATAATATTTTGAACTGTTAATATTCAAGTTTGTATAATAATAAAAGTATTTACATGAACTGAGATTCAGATCACAGCAAATCCAACACTGCATAGTAATTACGAGTCTTGGATAAATCAGAACATTTGATTTTTCTTCACCAGTTCATATAATTCAGTTGATATTTAAGGAAGAAGTCTTTAACCCTTTGAAGGGCACCGGTGTTCGTCAATTTTTTAACCTCCGAAAAAATGCTAATTTTTCTACACCAAAAGCTATAATCTTAAGTGTCTAGTGTTTCCTTTCAATTCTAAATGGTAGCATCACCCTATGAATGCTCAATATTTTGCAGTTATGAAAATTAATATACCTCTTTGCAAGGTATCATGTTGGAAGATTGATAAATTCTATTGGAGGGAAATAAAAAATTCAAAATCTGCAAATATATGACATACACATGCTGAATCTTATATATTTACTTCATTTTTGTCAGAAATGATAATTAACAGAAGATTATTTATATGATTTTAAAAACCGGTATATAATATATACCGGCACCCACACTGAGGGTACCACGCCAATAGATGGCAGCACCAGTCTTCTCCTTTTATACTCTGTGACATGACAGAATTTCTTTATTATTATAACAGTTTATGATATAATAATTTTCATGATTAATTTATAAGTTGTTTAGGATTCAATATTATGTTCATGGAGAAATGAGGAGTTTATTGACTCTGCTCTAGGACTGAATACAAGTATATTTAGTTTCTTATTTATTCTTTTTTTTGTACTTTGCTGCGAGTTTCATTCGTCTCTATTTATCTAAAATTTTAACTTCTGCACTTCACCTCTTTCCCAAGAGAAAGGACTCATCGATTTCAAAATTGCCATCTGGGGTCAAAACTTTACACACTTGTGGGGTTAAATTGTGGAATGTTAGCCCCCAAAAGACACTCGTTGCTTCGCTGATTTCCAAAATCCAAAATCCTAGAATCCAAAGAAAATGAAAGGAGGTGATTGACACTAATTTGTCCATTCGGGAGTCGCGCCTTCTTCCTCTGTGAGGTGTGATAAGATCACACAAAGGCAAAGCTCACTTAAAATGGAAATGTACTTAAGGTCTATCTCATAGCGTAATCACAAAAACTGCTGGTTTGAAAGCATGCTTTTATTCTTTAGGGAAATTCTTTGTTAATTTCAGATGAAAGATTAGAGAACACGAGAGAAATCTGCGCTCTGGTTGATACAAATAGGTTGTTTCTGAAATAAATTTTGACAGTTGGTGAAAGAAGGAAAAATATTTCTAAGGCCCGTTTTTAGATGCTAACTAAAATTTATCCAAAAGTTGAAAAGGAGCCCCTATGAAGCCAAAGGGGTTGAAAATCAGAATAAGAGCTTTGAGGTGTATCAAAAAATAAAATTGTTTAACGGCATTTCTTCCTGAACAAAAAGATACATTACAAGCTATATTTACAAAAAATAAAAAAGGGACCCTTACGGTCCTTGATGATCTTAAGTGTGTGTGCGTCGAGGGGGGGGGCGATTCTTCGTATCATAGTATGAAGCATGGTTGTTTTTTCACATACTATCTAAAGTATAAAATACAACTTCAAAAATGCAACATACTTTCTCAGCTGAGCCGGCCGTAGTGCTTCATTTTTCAATTTTTTTAATTTTCGGCTGAGTTACATCTGCTTGTAATATTATACTAGTTCAGTTACAGCATGATACGATTTACACTGCAGTGTTATATTTGCTAAATTTTTTTTATAAAATAATATTGAATTTATATCAAGTTGAAAAGCATTTTACCCATATTTTACATAAGTATGTTCAGCTGGGTTGCATCATCAAAGTGCATAAAAAGACATAAATTTTATTTTTGAAATTCTAAATTTCTGCCAAAATTTAAAAAAAAAAATTGTCTTTAGACTTACATAACTATATTCAAGCACTCACCACTACAAACGCACATCAAAAGTACCCAAAATTAATTTTAAAAACAAAGATTAACAGTTGGCAGCTACCTGGAAAAAAATGTCCTAGAGGGGCGTCGGTATAAAATATATACCGGCTCTCAAAATTCGGGATTTTGCTCTAGATCTTTTTTAAATCTCAATTTTGTGTCCTTAGGGTCCATAAGTTATAGTTCATGCAAAATTTTACCACAGTTTAAATTGTTTTATATACCGCCCCTCAAAGGGTTAAAGCAACAACTTTTCCCACAGAAAATAGAGGTAAGATATGTAGGTCAATCAGAAAGTTAGTTGCACATCTTCATAAAAATTTTCTCTCAAAGGCTATTTTGATGAACCTGTCTGAGAACATTTCAAATATTTAGCTGTATCATGTGATATAGCAGCTTTAACGAGGCAATTTTAGTTTGTTCTGATAATCAGTCGTAAACATGTCTAAACAGCTGCAAGTGGCATCTAAATGGGAAATGCATGCAGAGATTCGTTTTTTATGGGGGGGGGCAAAAAGGTATAACTACTGTGAAATTTATCAGCAGTTGCATGAAGTTTATGATGAAAATGCATTGTCACGTCAAGCTTTTGCGAAGTGGTGTGAACATGTTTGAGAACAGATTTACAGATATTGACTACGTTGAGCGTAAGGGAAAACCATCAACTGCCACAAATTCTGAAATTGCTGCTCACATGAATGAATGCATTCTTGCAAACAGACGCATGACAATAGATAAAATCTCTTTCTCATGGAACTGTGCATAAAAGTATTGCTGATCAGCTTCAATTTCATAAAGTTTGTGGTTGACGGGTGCCTCGTTTACTGATGAAGGAAGATAAAGGGAATTGTTTTAAAAGTGTGTTGAAATTTCTGCAATGTTACCAAAAGGAAGGAAATTAGTTTTGGGACAAAACTGTGGCCAGAGATGAGTTTTGGATTCACTACTTCTCACCTAAAATGAAATGCAGCTTCCTCGAGTGGAATCATTCCAATTCCCTGACTTCAAAAAAGTGTTGAACTGTTCCATCTGTGGGAAAGGTGATGCTGACGCTGTTTTTCGACAGAGAAGGTTTCAAGCATACAGAGTTTGTGTCAAAGGGTGCCACAATTAACGCATCTTCTTATTGTGAAACACGAAAACAATTGCAACAATCACTTAAAAATTAACCACCAGGTAAACTTCGGATGACAAGGTGAAAGCTGCAACCCAAGAATGGTTATCAGGCATTGGATGGGATTTTTTTCAGAAGGCCTCGAAAAACTTGTACCATGCCTCGACAAATGCTTAAATGAAGGAGGTAATTATGTTGAAATGTAGATTTTGAATGGAACTTTAAGATACAAATATAGTTATTGTAAAATTTCTATCCTGTTTTGTTTTCTTAAGCAGTGCAACTAACTTTTTGACTGACCCTCTTAATTATTATTGCAGGTTGCATTAAAACTGTTTTGTAAATTTAAATAATTCAAGTTATTGATACAATAACGTTATGGCGCTCAGTATTCATTCTAAAATGGATGAAGAAATAGAAAATTAAAGAAACATATGAGGGTCATCTAATCTTGTGTAGCATAATTTATGGAATAAAATTGAAATAATTTTAGAAGATGATTCTGAAATATTAACCAAAAATGAAAATCTGGAAAGTAGTTAAGAAATACAATATTTGCAACTGAAAAGTCATTTGTTCTAAAGCTGATTTAGAAATATAATAATGACTACAAATTTCAGATTTAGAATCAGAATTGGCTCTTTAGAAATGTGTCAAGAGAGCCATTGTCCTTGTCAGAATTATTATCAATTTCCTTTTCCTCGTCTAAGCCAAATGCTTACAAAATACCATCTTCACTACCTCAGTCTTCTTTTGATGAAGCAACTTGCCAATAATTCCTTCCATACATATGAAAGTTCATACTGTAACTTTTGTACTTGATACATTTACTTTAGTCAGCATACCTTCTTTTAATCATCTTTTACTGTCACAGAAAAACAGCAGTAAATTTGAAACTGAATTGCATAAAACATACTAATAGTAAAATTATAATTTAAATAATTTTATATCATCAGCAATATCAATGTGACAAGAAAGCCATGAAACATACTTTTTGGCATCGACAAAATTATTTAATCCAAAATTTCAGTAAAAGATTTAATATAATATATCCATTTTTGCCACCTTATCTGATACATATAAAATATATAAATTACAAGAAAAATTAAAATCATTAGGACTTTGAAAAATATGGAACAACAGGAAAAAATTCCTCTTGTTAACTCAGTCTACTTAGCAAACGTCTCAACATCTGAAGGTTACCAGTCAAATCACCTGAATTCATTTTAAGAAATGATATACTTATCTTTCAAAAACATCATCCAATGCTTAGACTAACTAATCACTTAAATTTTATTATGCTTGCTTTTCGTTGATCTTATTTTTAGTGTTACTAATCAACTGAGTTCTGCTTCTACACTCTGTACCAATATATTTTATTAATAAAATCCAAAGAACAATAACCTGAGGTTCACAGATCCTGCTCTTTTTATGCATTTGAGGAAATTCACATTTACTATTTAATGTACTCATATTCTTTAATAAAGGTGCATATTTTAATAACTATTAAATCATATTTTAAACAATCAAGAATTAGAAGACTTCATATCTAATTCTGAAATTATTTAAAGCAAAACCAATATTAAAAATTCTTATTATATTTTAATAAAATTTTGAACATATAATAATACTGTTACTAAAATTATATGTTACTACAATTATAATAACCTAAATGTATTACAATAATATGGAAAAATTTTTATACCCCAAATATAATATAGGCATGTCTATAGGTAAATTCCGCAGTAAGAAAAGTAAGGTTAAAAATTTGAAGTCACTTTAATCAATTAGAAAAATAGTTATGAAAATAATTATCTCTATAAATTGGTTTTAAAATGAAAAAGCTTAAAATTCTTTAAAAATAATTTTTAGTTATTCTTCAGGATTAACTTATCAGGAAAAAAGGGGAGAATTAAAATGCATAAATAAATGAAGAACAACCTCCAGTAGCCTGAGTGGAAAGCATTCTGCGATCAAATACACGGACGGAAGCATCAGCACAACCAACTGCCAGCTGATATGGTGTCAGAGGGTTCACAGCTAATGAAGTTACAGGAGATAAGAAGTTTATCAGGATATCCTTTAAAAAAAGATATATTTTAAAAATATATAATGAAAGTTTACACTATATATAGTCAAGAGTCAATTTCTTGTCACACATTTTAAAATAATATTAATTTAAGAATCAATTAATCTAAGTGAAAAGCATCTTGTTGTTATAATACCTTACATTTAATATGTTTTTAATAACTTACATATAATTAAGATATATCACTCTTACATATAACTCTACTATATTACATGAACTCTAGTAGTAGCTTCATTTTTCCTAGTGAGAGAAACGACTGGCTACTGCACAAACATTTTAAGATGGCTTCAAATGTATTGTACATACATATTAAACCATTTATTTTTAAAATCTAGAAAGCTGTTCTTTCCTACAGGTATATGGGTAGCTTGAATAACTTCTTTAATTAATTAACTAACTACGGATATCACTCTTATATAAATATAGCAACAAAATTATTTTAACAACATAATGGCAAATTTCATTATTTTGCCAACTCATCATCTTACTTTACATTTTTCATATATTTTTGGGGGGTAATATATTTAAATACACAAGCCAAATATAAACTGTAAATCATGTTGTTCTGGTCATTCATTTTACCTTTTCTTTGGGGGGGGGAGTAATATTGTATTATATACATTTAAGCATTATTCATTTTTCCTTCCTTCCTTTTTTTTTTTTTTTTTTTTAACCACTTGTGCTACAAAGACGTGCCACGCACGTCGAGATGCTTTTGTCTCAAACCGCGAGCAACGTGAACACCACGTCGATAGGCATTTATCGCAAAAATGAAAATAACGTGGTGCACATGTGCCCTAACAATGAGATTGTTTATTTCTCGAGTTACAGCTCTGGATTGCACTCACAGACGCGGAGCGGCATAAATGAGTCACTTTACTGCTTGTTATATTGTAGCGCACTGCACTGCAACCGTGAAGTTTAGTTGTAGCATAAGTGGTTAAAAATATGAATGGAAAAATAGAAAATGCAGCCTCTGTAAAAATGTTTGGGGATGTAAAAATCTAAAAATCTCCATGATGAATGAAACAGAGAATAAAAAGAAAAATAAGAAAAAAAGTATTTCTCCATATAACTTTTCAAAATGATTTTTCTGGTCTTAGATTTTGTCTACTTAAAAAGTCTGCCTTTTGCTTCATGAAATTTAAATAACAAAAAAATAATAAAATATGTATGAAAATGATAACTAGTAACACTAAATTTATAAGTACATAAATTCCTATTATATCTATTTTATTTTTGACCAACGCAAGTCTTTCAAAGATAGGTGCTGATTAAATATTGCTTTAAAATATCTTTTAAAAGACTCAACAACAATTTTTAAATGCAAATTTCTATTATGATAATATAACTCATTTATATTACACTAAATAACAGCCAAATAGTTATTCAAAATAACTAAATTTTACTAATTTTGATACATTGTAGTACATGAATAAGATAGTTAAAATTTTTATCAAGTTTTCAAGATGAGTGAAAAGAAAGTGTTTTTAAAGTCTAATTTTCTGGCAACAGAATGTGAATGTTGAACCTTGTTAGGAACATTGCTTTTATTTTTCTCGTAAAATTATGCAAATACACTATACATTTTTATTTCTTATTTACTGTTTAATTTTTCAAGAAACAATTTTTATAACACATCAAAATGTTCAGATATGCAAAAGCACTCATCAAAATGATCAAAATCTGCTGAAAACCAACATTTAGTTATTTTGCAACTAAATCAGATGAAGAAATTAAGCCCCAATTTAATTATAATAAAGTTGCAGACTTTTAATTTATTTGAAGTTATTTTAAATTTAGGTATTAAAAGAACATATTTAACATAAAGAATACAAATGACTTCAAATTTGTAGTTCAATGTTGCATCTCTAAGAAAAACTGTTAGTATTTACATATGAATCAGAAGAAAGATTAAAATTTTCCATAATCAAATTATAAAATTTTTTAATGAAGTGATTATTATAATCTGTTGCTGTTGTTACACATGGCTTTATTAAAACGATCAATTCATACATATAAAACAGCTCAAGTATCACACAAGAACAATGATATATAATAAAAAAGAACAAACATTTAAGTAAAAACAGAACAAATGAGATTATTATAATCTATATAATTAAAATTAGTAATAAATGTAAATTTAAAACCACTTTTATATATGACCCATGGCAGATAAGCCTCAATTATTTGCAATTAACTACACAGAAAATCAATGCTCACATCTCTACAGTCTTCTTTGCAACATGAAGTCTTTGTCCGAAGATCAAACCACCTTACAGATCTATCCTCACCACAAGAAAGAAAAGTATTTGGATCATTAGGAACAGTCATTATTTCATATGCAGTCCCTTTATGGCAGTTGAATTTGTTATGCATGCTAGTTTCAGGACGTTCCAAGTTGGAATAAATTATAATTCCATCCCCAGAACAAGACACAACCTAAAAATAATCATTATTTACATATATGATGAAACAATATGAGAGAGAATACATAAAATTGTCACAGTTTTTAATTTAACATCTTTAAGCATTTTAAAAATAAAAAACTCAAACAGTTTCAAAAATATGATAGCAATAATCACAACAATAAGTACTAAGAGCAAAATACTACTATTGCATTTTTACCAGTTAAAATAATGCAACTTTGGACAATATGAAAGAGAGGTTAATTCCTATTTAAAACTACAATCATTAGAAAGTTAGGTTAAGTATAATATAATAATGACAAAGTGCAGAGGAAGCTTCAGATAATTAGAATCAGTATTATTTGGCATAAATGGAAATTCCTTTATATTATAATATAATACAAACCATAATGTCATCAAAGTCATCAATTAAAAGTTATTAATGTTAATCATTCACAAGTCACATGATGTAAGGATTTAAGAATACATCATGATGTAAGTATGCATTTAAAAATACATCATACATGCATAAAGCTATTTTTTTAAAGATTTTCAGGGCTGAGACATGGATTTCTGTATAATTTTTGATTCTGCTTAAAACATGCAAGACATTTCTAAAACAAATTCCATACAAGTTTTAACATATTTTAACTAATTAAAAAGTCAAGCATGGCACTTACACTTTTAACAAAATCATACTTCAATACCATATTTCTTCATGTATCCCCCCCTAGTTTTTTAGGACTGGGTTTTGAACATTTAAAAAATACTCACGTAATTTTACCCTTCTTTAACTGTACATAGGTTTTCCTTCGAGGGGTAGTTTATAGGTAAATTGCATTCCATTTATTATTTTTATTCGGTGTATTCAATTTGTATTCACATTTTTGAATTAACATTTCATCCATTTTATTTTCCCTTGCATTTATTATTTGAAATATATTTTGTGAAGATTACTTCTATCATTTACAGTCCAGCTCATAGTAGCCTTATATGCTGCTAATGTGTTCAATCTTTCAAAATCAGGGGTCTTTGGTTTCTCCCCATTCTCCTTCATTCCTCCAATATTCTTCTTGGGAACTGGAATTAAAACTTACTCATGTGAGGTGGCCTTGGGGCTTTACAAGGCAACTGAGCTGGACATGTCATGCTGAGATGGCTTAGTTACTATCAGATATTGTAATATTAATATTTCTATGTATTCTTACTGGAATGCAAGTTTCTTTTAACGAAATAGCATTGTGACAGTTTAGTTTATCCATGACTACTCTTCATTTGTTATGTTCTTACTGTAACAGCATTTTTAGGAAATTAAATTACTCACATAATTTCCGCCCTCTCAATTTTCAGATGATAATATTAATTGAAAAAAAGGGGAAATATGATAATAATAAAAACTAAGAAAAAGAACTAAGCACGTGTTTATAAATACTTTTCCCTCTAAGGTTTTGTTTATATGGATAAGCATTTTGGTACTCTCTGATTATCTCCTCAAGACTAGAATAACTGAGCAAAGTGCTATGCCACCAGAGTAGGTAAATCAGAATTTTTTAAAAATGTGTTTATCTTATATCCTTTCATTCTAATGGTTTTTAATGAAAGTAGCTTTTTATGAATAAGCGCAATTCTCTGTTTTTTTTTTTTTTTCTTTTAATTAAAACAGATTGATGTGTACATGGGGAGCAATGCCAAGTTGCTCTGTGATGCTGAAAATTCTGAAATTTTCAGATGTTCTTCAAGTTAAAACACTCTGCTGAGTACATAGGCAGATGATCGGGAAAACAGAAACTTATGTGTTTTATTATGATTTTCATTGTGTTTTTTTGCCATGGTTTTATGTAACTTTCAATGTTTCATCATGGATATTTGTTTTATGGCATGGCATTTTTAGTCTTTCATTATGCATATTTCTTTACTTTTTAATTTCATTAATTCATTGTTGTTTTATGCAATTTTCAGTGTACAGCCAATTTAAATAATAACTACTGTTTTTCATGTGTAGGTTGGCGAAAAATTAATTGACAATTAGTGGCCAGTTTGCAGGGAGGTTGGGCAGATAATCAGAGAGTATAAAAACTGCATAAATTGAAATTAAGTAGAACATTGTATGATTATTTAACTTTAGGAAGTTTGAGGTAGTTTTACACACATGGAAGATAAAAATTTTCTTAAGATGGCAACAGTACCTTCTCCCTGGCAGCATCATTTGAATATAATGAATTTTTTTTTAAGTTTCAATTATATGTAGAAAGTTCTTTTGATTTTATTGCACAGTAACATTAATTTTTGACCAATACAGTAAGTTTTGTACTTTCTGTTTTATATGATTACATATATGTAAAATATAAAAAATATGATGGCTTTACGTGAACAGGCAACCTCCAATTAACTTTGTGTAATTTCAGGATCTTCCCCCTAAACCAGTACTTTGGAGAACATTCTGGCATGTTATGTAACCGCTACTATAAAGGCAGACATCGTGCCATTTTTCATCAGATCGCTTTCTCCTTCTACTGCTATAAGACCTTTGCTACCGCTCTTCTCATCTCTCTTCCTTTCTTTGAACAATATGGCACAGTAAATTTAAAGTTAATCCTATTTAGTTTAAATTACTATCACATATGTAATCTTGGAGAAAAAATATTATTTGCCATTTGAATTGAATAAAGATGTGCAATAAAAGTTAAATTCTTCTGTGCCGTAATTCTGCTGTAAGCCACTCAGCCACAACAACGTCCAGATTCTGATGCCAAGCTTCATTCATGTGCCTTACTGCCAAAATATGACATATATATATTTTGACATAAAATATATAAATAAAATCTGATATTATACTACATTCTGGATCTACCAAGATTCCCCACCATTCTACTTAGGTCTATAACATAGAAATTTATTTTATAGTTTTGATTCATCTTCATTTAATTTAGAAGAAAGTATGATACTTTCTGATTATCTGCACCTCCAAGTACACAAAAAGCAACAGCTATGTTCAAAATAGTTACATACTAAGAATTCCATAAAAGAGCAAACAATCAATAAATTTAAAAAGCAAGAAATAGAAATGAAACACTCATTTTTTTTAAAACTTTCTTACCCCCTTTTTTTCTTCTGTCAGTGTTGTTCTTTCCATATACACAGCAATCTGATTTTGCTTAAAAAAATCAGCAAGATTCATAAACTCGGCATCCATAAACTTTAGCATTGTGCACCAACTAAAAACAAATGTCCTTATATGCATAATTGGGTTGCTACATAAATACTTTTTGGCAATATCATGGGCTGCCATATAGCTATTTTGATGACATACTACTTTGCCTCATGAATACTTTTTTTTGCAACTTTTCAGTGCAGATGCAGATAATCAGAAAGTACCAAAAATATTTTCCCTTAACTAAGTTTAATGTAGAAAAAACAAAATATTATATTAAAAATAATTAAAATAATTGAAACTTATATTAGAAATAATGTCACATTATTAAAATTAAATTTCAGGAAGGTAAATAAACACACTTTGTAAAATATTTTTAATTTAAATCAATTTTTCTATTTTTTTAAGAGATGCCTATGCTTTAAAACAGAAAAGGAGATGAGATACAAGAAAAAAAACCTTTCAAGTGAAATTATGGAGCCAACTTTTAAACAATTTTTGAAAACAGACTGTTTAGACGTACATTTTCAAAACTAGATGCAAACAGAGGCAGATGCAAATTAATTTGCTCGAGCTATATCGCGAGAATAGAAAAAGATGAAAAAGATTGTCCGTTGCCTTGGTGATTTTTTTTTAGTTTTTGCTGTTCTTTCACATGTTTTCATTAATACAGTCCGCTTGAAATTTTTACTTTATTACACAGGTTCTACACTATTGGTTTGTCCTTGCTGCAGGACCTATGCATTTTTTTTTATTTCAATTTATTTATGTGTTATTCAGCAAAATGTGCTTAGTTTTGTTTTCTGGATTAAATTCTATTCCTTGCAGGGAGATATTTTCATAAACATGAGATACTGTCTTCATTGATAAAAAAATTCTTAAATTTTCCCTTTTCTAACTTGTGAATCTCATGCTCAGATTTTGAAACTAGTTGATTCAAGTAAAGAATATGTAAGATTAACACAGTCCTTGAATGTGAAAACTAAAAATGCAGTAGATACTGTTCTCATGTTTATTGCACAGTTTAAATTAGATCCAGTTACAAGAAGCTGGTGTGAGCAGTCCATTACAGATGATAAAATTCCTTTCCTGAATAAACTACAGAAATTTCTTTCAAAACATGCTAGATTGTTAATTACTAACAATTCAGATTCAAAGCAGACTTTTTCTAAGTGGGTTACACTTGCTTCAGGTTTACAATCACAGTGTGTTTACTGCCAAGGAAGTCACGTATTAACTAAATGTGATGTATTTCTCAAGCTGTCCGTCCAAAAAAGACTTGTAAAATCGAAAAATATTTGCTTTAATTGTTTAACACAATTTCACCTTAAATCAATCTGCAGGAGTACTTATAGATGTCGCAAATGTAAGAAAGCCCATCACACGTTATTGCCTTTTGACAACACCAGTGAAGGTAGCACTGATCCTCCAACAAGGAATACAATTACTGTAAAGGCCCTTATTTTCGCGAGGCTTTAATTTTCGCGAGCCTGTCGTAATCGCGAAACTTTAAGTTTCGTGAAATACTTTTTTTTCCCGCCTCAAATAATAATAAGAAATCAGAAATTTTTCACTTACCCAAAATTTAATGACTTATTGCACAGTTACAAGCTTTTTCTTGACAACTTTCTTCCTTATAACTATTTTTTGAATAATATACAACTATATTTCTCGAATTTAAAACAATAAAATTAACAGAAGGCAGCTCATTCACTTAGAGCTCATCACTATTTAATAGCTCATCACTATTTATACTAGCTTCTTTGAAGCCATTCAAAATTATCTCATGTTTGGTTTTAATACCGTTAAATGCGCGAGCCAAGAAGGCACAAGCCAAGAAGCGTGAATCAGTTTTAGTCGTGATATTCGCAAGACCACAGATT